GAAAAAACGACATAGTATAGTCAGGCGTTTTTAGCACGAAAAAAATGACATAGTATAGTAAGGCGTTTTTAGCCGAAAAAAACGACATAGTATCGTAATATAGTATAGTAAGGCGTTTTTAGTCGAAAAAAAAGAGCATAGTATAGTAAGGCGTTTTTGGCACGAAAATAACGACCATGTATCGTAAGGCGTTTTTAGCCGAAAAAAACGATATAGTATAGGAAGGTGTTTTTGGCACGAAAAAAACGACATTGTATCAAGGCTAAAAACGCCTTACTATACATGGTCGTTTTTTTGAGCTAAAAGCGCCTTACGATACATGGTCGTTATTTTCGTGCCAAAAACGCCTTACTATACTATGTCGTTTTTTTCGTGCCAAAACGGCTTACTATACTATGTCGGTTTTTTCGTGCCAAAAACGCCTTACTGTACTATGTCGTTTTTTTCGGCTAAAAAGGCTGTACTATACTATGTCGTTTTTTTCGTGCCAAAAACGCCTTACTATACTATGTCGTTTTTTTTCTGCCAAAAACGCCTTACTATCCTATGTCGTTTTTTTCGTGCCAAAAAAACCTTACTACACTATGTCATTTTTTTCATGCCAAAAACGCCTTACTATACTATGTCGTTTTTTTCGAAAAAAATGACCATGTCTAGTAAGGCGTTTTTAGCTGAAAAAAAAAACATGTATAGTAAGTCGTTTCTAGCCCGAAAAAAAAAAACGACCATGTATAGTAGGGCGTTTTTAGCCCAAAAAAAACAACCGTGTATCGTAAGGCATTTTTTGACGAAAAAAACGACCATGTACAGTAAGGCGTTTTTAGCCCGAATAAAACGACCATGGATAGTCAGGCGGTTTTGCTGAAAAAAACGACCATGTATAGTCAGCCGATTTTAGCCCGAATAAAGGACCATATATTGCAAGGCGTTTTTACAGCCAACAAAACAACCATGGATACTAAGGTGTTTTTTGCCCCAAAAAACGAGCATGTATGTAGTAAGGCGTTTTTCCAGCCAACAAAATGACCATGGATAGTAAGGCGTTTTGACCTGGAAAAAAAGACCATGTGTAGTAAGGCGTTTTTAGCCCAAAAACAACAAGCATTTATAGTAAGGCGTTTTAGCCTGAAAAAAACCACCACGTATAGTAAGTTGTTTTTAGCTCGAAAAAAACGACCAGGATATATAGCAAGGCGTTTTTGTTCAACGACAATGTTTTTTGCATACTCATCTCATTTTTAATCATCAACTCGAATCGTTGCTTGCATCTGTTACTGTCTAAAAAGTTTCAAAACAGTTTCCGTGAAAGATGAGTATGATGCATATAGTCTTGGAAATATAAATAATCAGACCACATAATCTCATCGGCAATCATCCAATTACAGCCAGCCCTGCTGTCATCTTTCTTAATTGCTCAATTAAATGGAGTTTAATTGAATTTCCCACTTGACTTTGGGGACTCTTAATGTCACCGGATGGAAAGAGGAAAGGAAAAAACCCCCAACAAAAACAAGTCCTGGGATAATGAGCCTGGAGTCAAGTCTACACCACCGTGCCTCCCTCTCCCCGTGAGCCCTTCGCAGCCGACTAACTCATTCCAGTGCACTTTGGTAATTTCATGTTTGAGAGATTTTACTGTGTGACGACAAAAGCTGACCACCACCCCCAAATGGAGACGCAACCCCACTATCTTCACGCATTTGCGAGCGCAACATTAAACCGGAAAAGTATCGTCGGTTAGCCTGGCTCGCTTGTCGCTCGTCCGACGACCTGTCCTGCGTGCAAACAGCTCTCGGTGACATCACCATTTTATTCACTTTTCATCCCACAAATCTTTTGTCCTTCACAATTGCACATCGCAAAGTCAGCTTTACAAGATCTTTTATTTGACATCGTGTCATATAAAACATGAAGTCGTCCTGTAAATCACATCATATAAAAGCATCATGCCTTTAAAAATGTCAAAACTATCCATCGGGTCCTTTTTATTGCTGTCTTGCTTTCTGTCATGTTAAAATAAGCCTGTCATGCTACATGTTATGCACGTCAAAAGCTATCGGGTCATAATTGCAATTGTCTCAAAGTGTTATTTGTACAGCCTCATAGAAAACTAAGTACAGCACCCGCTAACACCAAACACAGTCCCAAGCAGCCTCAGTAGCAGTCATTTTATCGAAATTCCCATTAGCTAGGAACACCCCCCTTCCTTTCATGGACAAGGTGTAACTTATCAATCAATCAAAAACACTACAAAGACGGCGGCAGAGAAGCTACTTGACGCGGCATTCGCGATGCCGTCAATTTACCGCGGCCAGTCAACAGGCAGCGATGCGAGCTCCTCGACTCGTGTCACACATTTACCGGCACGCCGATCAACACCGCCGGGCTCATTGATACTTCCGCCCGGCCCACCTTGGTCAACAAACGCACGAACCGGGCACGAAGGCCGAGCGACAAAACTGAAAAGCACTTAGTTGCTTTTGGTTGCTGCGACTATTGTCCTCAAGCGTGCGCACCAAAGCTCCAAAAAGGGGGACAGTGGACTGTCCGAGTTCAAAGCGGCGAGCGGTTACAGGGATAAGCGGCAAAGCACGAGGCGGAACACGTGCAAAGATTAGCTCCTTAACGCTCGATCAAAGCGAGCGCGCCGCCGCGCTCGTAAGCACTGCTCTGATCCCGGGCGAAGCCATCGATCGATCGATCCGGAGTCGCAGGATAAGGCCGAGAACTTGGGAGAGGAAGGCAGAGTGCTCCCCAAAGTTGTCTGCTCAAAGGTAAAAGAATCGGAATGCCCTTTTCCCTGAGACTTCTTCGTCCAAAGATAAAGAAGCGTAATGTCACCACCGCGTGCCTTACCGAAGGAATCGATGCGGGGCCCCTATCTCGCTCCTCCGCCCGCTGCTATCCCGCTAGCCAATGTTGACATTTGGCTCAAAGTCTATTGATTTATGGCGAGGACGATGTAAAACAAACCCATCTTGAGGTTGAAACTTTCACTTAAAGAGCCATACTTTCTCAGCAGGCATGAAAAGGAAAAAAGAAAAGAGGATCTGGGCGGACAATCAATGGCACATTGAGGACTCGGCTGAATCGCGCCTCGCGTCAAAGACTCGGGAGGAAAAAAAAAAGGAAGCGACATAGAGGATAAATACTTTCAAGGACAAATTTGTCAAAGCGCTTCTTCTCGACTTTATAATTGAACCTCTGGGCGGCTTTAGAAAGAGAAAATATTTCACGGCCGGGAGATCAAGAAAAGCCACACACAAAAGCAAGTCCAACTTCTTGTCGGACGCGCTTTTGCACTGACGATGTTTTATTCACTTTTGACTCGGGTCGCAGGGTTTCATTTTTGCAATTGCGCAAAAGGCCTTAGTGATTTTTTTTTTAAAGAAATTCAAGTTGTTGGATTTTTTTTTGTCTTCAAACGCCTTACTATACATGGTGGTCTGTATTTAAAAAAAAAAAAAAAAAGCTTTTTGTCGACTCAGTCAGGCTTCGTGGCAGTCCAACTTAATATATTAATGACTCAAGACAATTCCTATTTCTGGTGTTGATTTCACGTTTTAACTGCTTACCTGCTCCGTTTCTTTTTGTTGCTGCCGACTCGTCGGGCTGCTGCCTGTACGCATCCAGTGGGGGACTCATTAAGACTTATTCTTCTGCCCGGGCCTCCTGGAGAGATTAAACTTGATCACTTTCCAGTTTCCAGCAAGGAAGAGTTATATTTGCCGACGCTCCGACGCGATAAAACAAACAGCGTGAGAGTGTGGTGGGGGGGGAGGGGGGGTGTATGCAAATGAGGACATGAATACAGATCAGGTCGAATACATTTTCCTTTCTCATTTCCATGCTGCTGCTGAAGCGCCGCTGCCCTTTTCTGCCGACGCGCATCTCGCATTCATGGCGCTTTGATGGGTCACTCGTTTGAAATGAAGACAAACCTGAATGGAAAAAACAAAGATCAAAGTCAGTCGCATTTACATTTGAGCGCTGATTGTCCCCCTGCACGGACGGACGGACGGGCCCGTTGTCCTGAGCCTCCTTGGATCAATTAAGTCAAGGGGGTTGTTTACCATCAGCTAATGTCAGCCTAGATATCCTTCTGATGTCGTGACATTGTACCGTAGCCACTCTGTCCTGCCTTCTTTTTTTTTTTGTCCACGGTATCCTCGCGACACAAGACTTAATAACGTTTCTTTGAGAACCGCAAAACTCAGAGCCATTACTGCAACCGAGCCCCCCTCGGACGACGTATTTGCAAGCAGCCTGTAATTTCGCGTCCATTAAAGCCTTTTGGACACATCGGCGGTACTCGGGTCCGGGCGGACGCTGATGACTGATCATTTTGGTGGGGCGATTAGCTGTGATAATGACGCACATCTACACCTGTCAGCGAGCAAAGACAACAAGCGTGTTGTACAGAAAGCCATTAGCATCGGCGTCGACATCTACTTCCTGAGCGAGGGATATAATTAGGTCGGCGCTAACAATGTAGATGAAGACGAATAGAGTACACGGCGTGGATTATGCACAGCAACGGGGCGAGATGTGCTGCGCAAGGGGGAAAAAAAAAATAATACAACAACGGGGATATAAGAGACCTCTTCCGCCCGAGAGCATCGCATAAAAGTCAGTAAATAATTCATGCGTAGCGCGCTTTAATAGTTGTATGATATAGAAAAGAGCTGCCGCGTCTTTGGGGGGGATTTAGAACGGTGCGTCGCATGAGGAAGTTGAATGAATGTGGAGTCGACGCCCCGCCTGACAGATTTGGGTTAGACTGAAGGGAATAATGACTCGGTTAGAATTTGACGGCTGAATTTCAACCCGCCGTGGGACCAAATGGCTAACCGGTTCATCTTGAGCTACTTCAGACATCTTGGAGCCGCCCTAAGCCCTCCCGAGTGCGGTCCAGATTTGATTCTGGGCCACATGAAAGGTCAACGCATTTAACCTTTACCTCTCGTAAGCCTGTTGCTTTAAATAGGTCGACTGAAGCGAGTGACGTCCACGCGAGCCCACTTGATTTTGAATGATGATATAAAAAAAAAAAAAAAACTGGGGGGGAGTAGCTTTATCTCATTTCTTTGGATCATAGTCAAAAAGTGGCCAGATCGGAGCCATCCTTTGTGATTTTTTTTCCCCCATTTTCTTTATCCTCCGCAAAGGGCCACAAATATAACAGCAGTCAAATGAGTCACTTAGCAGCATTCATTCCGATGGGGGATGACGATTTGAGATTTGTGCACTTTCAACGCGGTCAGGGAGTGATTTAAATTTGTGGCACTGCTGTATAGCGCACATTATACCGCAGATCGCGCCTTATTACTGATTTCAAATACTGCCAGGCCTGCATGTCATGATTCCATATGCTCGCATTAAGAAATCAAGTCAAGCAGGGAGGGGCGGAAAAAATAAATAAAAAAATACGACGCGCTCTTGGCATGCTGTGTCAATTTATGAATAAATAAGCCAACGTGCTGTTACACTCGCCTGCAGTGAAAACACACACCAGCAGTTTTCCACGCGCCCAACCAAACAATAAATGTTGCTCGCTAATGCCGCTGACAGATGGCTACACACTCCCCTATAAAGCCGCAATCTAGCGGCGGGGAACTTGCTGTCCGTTATCGCTTTCCACAAGACCTTTGGGATAAATATTCATGCGGACGCTCGAGCGGAGGAGGGCAAGAAGATTCAGGTGAGGTGTCAAGGGCGGCGGCAGAGGGGGGAGGGGGGGGTGGACTGCGAGGACGGTGATGCCATCCATAATTGAACACCCGGAAAAAGGAGAGCGGACGAGACGGGAGAAATTAGCCCGCTTCAACTCGCCAGGATGTGGAAACGGACGTCATGGGTTGAGTTTAAGCGCGCTATGTTGGCTCAAGTTTTCTTCCTCCCCGCCCTCAAAATGGGTTTTTGAATTTTGGGGGTGTTAGGTCGGAGGATGCCACTGAGCTTTGTGAATCGTGGGCCAGTGAAGCTGTGCAAAATTATTTTTGCGGTTAACGGCTTAAATAAACTTGATGACCATTGTTAAGATTTCCCGCAAATGAAATGCGCTCCAACGCAACCGGATCATTCTTGTTGTCATTGTCATTAAAAGCGCCAGCGCCGAGTGGGAGTTTGGGCATGTGCACGGAAAGTATTGCACTAATTAGTACGGCAATGTAAACTGTGGATTCATATAATGCACTTTGGCGGGGTGCCCGTCTCCTAATGCATAATTCAATTTCCATCAGTTCGCGTGCGCGCGCTCGCTCGCCCTCGTGTCTGCGCAGAGTCGGCGGCGAGTGGCTATTCAGGAGGTGCCAAAGCGGGTAAAAGGGGGCCCACATTGATACGAAGGACCCCAAAAGGCCACTAACGAAGCTGCGGCGGCGTCGCGGGCGACCTCGTCCACTCCCCTGTCACGTCACGCGTCGTCAACAGTTTGCGCTCAGCTGGAGCCGACACGACCAACTCGGTGGGTGGGTATCGTCTTCAATTTGTTGACCTCGGCAAAACGCCGAAGGGCTTTCACATGGTGATTAAGAATTTACTTTACACAAAACGTGACGTCCGCGAGAGGAAGCAAGTGAAAATTTGTTGCCCAGGAGAACCAGGTTTGAAACCCTCCCCGCGTCCTCGACCCCTTGAACTTATTTCACACAAATCATGACGTCCGTGAGCTGCGTCAAACTCACACTCACTCAGGGAAAAGAAAAAAACAACTTGTGCCGGGAGCGCGTCCAAATAAGGGCCGTGACTCAGCGCCGCAGCGAGTACCCCGCCAGACACGCTCCAAATGTCAGAGCTCTTCCGAGAGCGAGACAAGGCCGATATCATTTCAACCCAATTTTGCGCCTGGGCTTGTCTGCCGTTCGCCTTGAAGAAAAATCCGTCAGTGTCGCCGCTCCCGGAGAGGCGGGAGCAAATGGGCCGTGGAAAAAAAAGGCGGCTTCGGGAGAAGGAGCTACACTTGCGCGAGTGTGTGCGTCGCGCGATCGGAGTCACCCGTCACTTGTCCCGTCATGTCAGCCGTGACGCCGGCGTGTCAATCCAACGATTTGGCCGCCACGGCAACAGCGGAGATGACAAACTGGCGATTAAAGCGTCTCCATGACAACCACATGACGGGAAAATTGTGAGAGGACCCCCCCCCCCCAAAAAAAAGACACTTGATTGGCTACAGGGTGGCGAGAATGACGACTGTCAAGCGGCAGGCTCATCACGATGCCAGATAACGTTCCTCGTTTTGATCTTGCTCCACTCTTGCGAACTTTCTGGAGAGTTTATTCATTTTAAACTTTAGCCTTTGCTTGAAACCATTCTTGGAAACCCTAACATTTGCTTGAAACTTTGAACAAGGTTTGAAACCCTAACTTGAAACACTAATCATGTCTGAATCCCTATTTGGAAACTTTGACCGCAGGTTGAAACTGTAATTTGAAACCCTACCCTAAGCTTCACACGCTAATACAGGCTTGAAATACTTCGACACCCTATCCTTTGCTCAGAAGCAGGTTTGAAACGTTAACTTGAAATCCTAATCGTGTCTGAAAGCCTTACTGTGAAATCAGGTTGAAACCCTAATTTGAAACCCGAATCCTGGCTTGATACCATATTTTGAAGCCCTATCCCTTTCTCGAATCCCTAAATTCAACCTTAACGATGGGACGACATCATCATTTGGAACCCTACCCATGGGTTGAATAACTAACCCTGTCTTAAAGCCCTAATTTGAAACTCTAACCTTTCCTTGAATCTCTGAATCAGATTTGCCACATTAACTTGAAACCCTGCGCGTCTCGAACCCCAAATTAGAAACTTTTGTGTCCGCAAATCGAAAACCTAACATTTGGTCGAACCGCCGACACCGACTTCGAAACTGTAATTTGGAACCTCAAATTCGAAAACAATTTTTGTGCTGTCATGACAACGCCATTCAGGGCGATCCGATATTGATTCGAGGAACGCATCGAGTACAGCGGGAGCGGCCCGAGCCTTTCGTGAGACTTCATTGACGTTACAAAGCCGTCAAACTGATGTGACCATATATTTTTTTCTTCTTCTTCCCCGGCAGATGTTGGGCCCTCAGAGAACATGAGTGGTTTTTAATTTCAAACATCTGCAAGAACGCGGTTTTACCGAACAAGTCAATCTGCGCAGATGGGGCCAGTGTCGTTGATTGGATGGGGAATGTGTTCCTGTCGAAGTACCGTGCGCTCGTCAGCACCTGCACAGATGAGAGCACACTTGGCAGATGTATTAAAAATGTCTGTCTATGCATGGGGTATATTCTATTATGCATACTTTTTTTTTAATTAGACATTAATAGAATGGAACATCAGAGCTGAATGCATTTACATATTTATTGTACTCAAAATGATTCTTTTTGCTTTGTCACATTAGGGTTTTTTTTGTATTTTTGAATTTATAAGGAAAAATATTTTTGAAATTAAAATAGTAATGCGAATGAGAGAATATATATTTTTGTATTTTTAGTTAAAACATGATTTTTTTAAAAGACATTTTTGGAATATATATTTTTTTAATTTCTACCTATTTCCTGTTTGTCTAGTTTTCGCCAAAAATCAAGTTGTACTTTTCTCCACATTTTTTTTAATTTGTAGGTTTTCATTTTCTATTTAAAAATGTACTGGGAGTAAATATAACAGTAAATCAGTAAATTTGGAAGTTTTTCATTGGACAGAAAGCAAATCTGGATATGGAAAAATCAGTTGATTTCAAATTCAAACATTTCAAATCATCTCAAGCACACGTGGGAAGCTTTCAAATCTATTTCACCCCCCGTCGTCACCGTCGCTCAAACGGGCCCGGCGGAGCCCATCACTCAACTGTTATTGTCACATGAGTAGACGGACGTAAAAACAGACAAATAAAAGCGGCAAATCCGTCACTAACGTGAAACTGGGACAGATAGCAGCCATCCTGACGG